TACACATTGTGTTTCTGTGTGGGTGCAAACTGTTGAAATCTTTACTCAATTTATACTAAATTGATCTTCTGTATATAAGGATAATTGAAAATGAATCTTGATGCAAATGGAGTGGGAGAGGGAGCAGGAAATGGGAGGGTTGCGGGTGGGAGGGCAGTTATGGGGGGAAGCCATTGTAATCCATAAACTGTATTTTGGAAATTTATATTTATTAAATAAAAGTTTAAAAAAATCAAATGAAGACACACATGCTTTTAAACAGTTTTTACTTTTATAAGTTGTCAATGTCATAAGCAAAGCAGTTTTCTTTCAAAATTGTCTGTTCTCTATCTTTAGACTCCATGCCAAATCCCCTTCCCACACTTATCAAGCCAACTAAGTCTTACACAGCCCACATTCTTCCACATTTAAATTATTTGGGTTTGACTGTCAGACACATGAATTGTTAGTCAAAATAGTTATATCTCCTCTCTAAATTGTGTGTCACCTGGCATTTCTCCATCATCACCACTCTGCCTCTCTTTATCAGACAAAGGATCCTACCTCTTTTTTTCCCTCGTTTTGTTGATTTAGACTCCTCAGAGACAAAAAAAAAAAAAAAAAAAACGTCATTTTAATATGATCGTGTTAACAGAGGGACAATTTGATATGACTTATTATTAGAGTATATTGACTGAAATAGTAAGGATGATATGATGTGTCTTTCTAAAAATGTGTAGCCATCTTATGAGCTCAAAAGTGGCATGTGTCCTCCTTGAGCTTGGTGTCATCCATGGGTCACTCTGTATCTTCATTCATTCATTACCATATTTTTACTGTAATATTCAACTTATTAACAGTCCATATTCCACCGAAGACCATAACCTCCTTCCCCTCCTAATTAGCCAAAATGGCAACTTTCACTATTAAACAGATTTCTCCACTTTGGGAAAGAATGTGCACAATCAGTCATAGACAAAATAATTGTGAATCTGCCTTGTTTTAAAATAAAGTTGCTCAATATCTTCTTGAGAAATTTAAAATAAATAATTACATATAAAATAACTTTGAAACCTCAAAAGATTTCCAAAGTCACTTAACCTAAAATGCTAATTTTAATTTTATCTACCTGCCATTTTTTAGAAATCCATGCAGGGATTCAATTAGTCAAGCTTCTCAGTTTAGGACATTATCCAGTTGTCCATGAAAAATTGATCACGCCGGCGCCGCAGCTCACTAGGCTAATCCTCGCCTTGCGGCGCCGGCACACCAGGTTCTAGTCCCGGTCGGGGCGCCAGAGTCTGTCCCGGTTGCCCCTCTTCCAGGCCAGCTCTCTGCTGTGCCAGGAGTGCAGTGGAGGATGGCCCAAGTGCTTGGGCCCTGCACCCCATGGGAGACCAGGAGAAGTACCTGGCTCCTGCCATCGGATCAGCGCGGTGTGACGGCTGCAGCGCGCCCTCCGCGGCGGCCATTGGAAGGTGAACCAACGGCAAAGGAAGATCTTTCTCTCTGTCTCTCTCTCTCACTGTCCACTCTGCCTGTCAAAAATTAAAAAAAAAAAAAAAAGAAAGAAAAAAGAAAAAGAAAAATTGATCATATGATTTTATTCTTCCCTTCGTTATTTTTTTTATTTTATTTATTCAAAATACAGTGAGAGAGAGAGAGATAGGAGCAAGAGATCTTAAATGTGTTAGTTCACTCCCTAAATGGCTGCAATGCCCAGTGCTGAGCTTAAGTGAAGCCAGGAGCCAGGACCTCCATCATGGTCCTCCACAGGAGTTATGGAAGCCTAAGTATTTGGCTCATCCTTCCCTGCCATCCAGACATATAAACAGGAAGATGGATTGAAAGTAGAGAGGTTGCAGCTCCAACTGGCACTCCAATACAGCATGCTGCTGCACTGAGTAGTGGCTTAACTTGCTGCAGACACCACAACACTAGCACCCCTTTCATTCTTGATCAGACTGAGGGGAGCCGCAACGTGTATTTCAGTAGCCCAGTGTTAGAAGCAGCAAAGCTCCTGCAACCCCTAAGTTCAAAAAGATAAGTGCAGGGAACAGTTGTTAAGAACTCACTACAAGGAAACTACACAGAGTCTGTGCCTGGAGAGGAGCAGGGACTGGAGGAGAAGAACATAGGCAGCTCAAGCTGCTCACTCAGGTCTCGGAGCTGTATTGATTTTCCTTTATTCTTTTGCTTTCCTTCAGACTAGATCATCTCAACTGCCCTATCCTGAAGTTTGCTGATTGTTTCTGCTGCCAGCTCGAATCTATTGTTGAGCCCACCTGTGAATTTTCATTTGCATTGTTGTAGATTTCAATTCTAGAATTTTTACTTATCTCTTTATTTATCACTTGATTGAGTGATTGATTTTAAAGGCAGAGAACCCCAAATGCCCACAGCAGTCAGGTGTGGACTGAGCCCAAGTCAGGAGCTAAGAGCTCAATCCAGATGTCCCCTGTGGGTGGCAGGGAGCCAATTACATGAGTAATGACTTAACCACTTCCAAGGGTCTTCGTTAGGAGGAACCTGAACTTGGGAATGGAGCTGAGACCAAAACCCAGGCACTCTGATGTGGGACACGATGGCATCTCAATCACAGTCAATTGCAAGTCAAATGCTCACCTCATATTTGTCCTTTGGTTTGATCATTTCTGCTTCTTGATTGATGTTCTCTATTGCATGAGATATTCTTACACATTTCTTTAGTTCTTTAGATGTGGTTCCCTTAACTTCTTGGAACATATCACAGTTGACATAAAATGTTTTATATTAATGCCAGTTTATGAGCTTCCTCATGGACAGTCTACAGTGTGTTTTCTCTGAGACTCTACCCTGTTTGTTTATGGGCTACACTTTCTTGTTTCTCCCATGTCTTGGGATACTTTGTTGTAATCTAGACACTTTATATATTAAATAATATAAAGTGGTTTTTGGATCCCCTTCACTCCTCTGGATTGAACTGTTGCTGTTTGTTGTTGATACTCTTTGTTTGCTGAACTAATTTTCTAATGTATATTTTTGTCACGAATAGCCACTGAAATTTAAATGCTTTGCGGCAATAAATCTTCTACCTTTCACCCAGAAGCACTGTGCATATGTTGTAGAACACTTTCTAAAATCTGACTGGCAGCTTGAAATTCTGCTTTAACCTTGAATTCCTGCTCATACAGATCTTCAATTCAAGGTCTGTCAAAGACAAGAAATCAAAATTTTCTTTCTTGGGCATTCACACAGCATTGCACATGTGTACAAGCCTTCTATATTTTCCAGATTACTTTAAAAACTTTCCATAGCCCTCTGCAGCCATCTCATTCCCCAGTGTTTCATTTTAAATAGTTGGATCGAGCTTCTTGTTGGTCCCCGCTGAAATCACCAACTCCAGCAGCTTTAATTCATATATTACCATTGCTTGTTTTCACAAATGCCTCAGGGAGAAGCGTGTTCACAGGGACAGTTCTGAACAGATAAAAGACAAGTTCTGCAAGTGAGGATTACCTGGGAGCTGCCCCACAGATCCCATAATGACATTTCTCTGGAACTCTACCCTGTTTGTTTATGGGCCACACTTTCTTGTTTCTCCCATGTCTTGGGATATTTTGCTGTAATCTAGACACTTTATATATTAAGTAATATAAAGTGGTTTTTTGGATCCCCTTCACTCCCCTGAATTGAATGAAGTTTTTTGTTTGGTTGGATGGTTTTTTTGTTTGTTTGTTTGTTTGTATTTTTTTAAGGAAGCTTCAAATTTCATCTGCTCCCTCCACTCAATGCTAACTTTGTCCTTAGTGTGCTGTACATTGAGATTTAATGCTATAACTAGTACTCAAACAGTATTTTTCACTTTATGTTTCTGTGTGGGAGCAAACTGTTGAAATCTTTACTTAATGTATGCTAAACTGATCTTCTGTATATAAAGAGAATCGAAAATGAATCTAGATGTGAATGGAAGGGGAGAGGGAGTGGGACAGGGGAGGGTTGTGGGTGGGAGGGACATTATGGGGGGAAGCCATTGTAACCCATAAGCTGTACTTTGGAAAATTATATTCATTAAATAAAAGTTAAAAAAAAAGAAAGAAAACTGGTTTTCATGATGACTAACATTGTGAAACTGTTGGTTTACAAAGCTACTACAGTGCTGAGAAGAAAGAAAAGGAATACAAGCTAAATGCAATTTTCAAAACTTGATTTGAATTCTTTCTACAGTGTTATTGCTTTTATGAAACCAAGCTCCTATCTCTGATGCCTTTGATCTAGACTTTACCAAGTCCCAGTTGCTCTCCCTTAGCCTGCAGTCCCTCTGTCTTCACTTTGATTCAACTCCTTACTAGAGATTAATTTACTAAATTAAGAGAATGATGTAAAGGTCCCATAAGACCCCAGGCAACAAGACTTAGAATTCAATTATCACCTCTATTGTTAACACCCTATTGCTAGACTCTATTTTGAGGCATTTCAGATGAACCCTATGCCCTGATCAAATAAAGTAATAACCAATCTACCTGTAAACCCCAGACAGACCAGAGCCCACTGCCATCACAGTATCTTTAGAAGAACATGCTTGCTTTTTGTATCACTCACCAATCAAAGGAAGACCACAAGCACGGTGTGTGCCTACCAGGGACCTACACACAAGATGATTACACACTGCTCAAACCTAACATTAATCAATAAAAATGACTTGGGAGTCCTGGAATCTTTACTCCCCCAGGATGCATAGGAATTAAATTTTAGCTGCCTGAGTACTTGCTCTATGCATTGCAAACACTTTATTTCACCATCCTAGCGTCAGAAACTGGCTTGCTGTGTGGTGGGTGAGTGGACCCAGGTTTGAGCATTCTGTAACATTATGGATGAGATGCTTCTCAGAAATCCTTATTCTGCAAATGATGCTGCCATTTATCAATTTTTAGCTTTGAAACATTTCGAAGTCCTCCACCCTCCTGTTATTTTTCTAAAGTAGATATTTGGAAATAAAAATAATCTCAATTTGTGGTAAATGTTTTTTTGTGCTCCCATAGATCAATTGTTAATGCTCTCCATCCTCCATTGTGAACCATGAATCTGATCTCCATGGACAATCTTCAATGGCCTTTCCAATCCTATGGTTTCCAGGTATGATTGAAGAAACCTCATGAGAAAGAGGGCAGGAGTAAAGGGAGATGAAGGGGACAGGTATTCCCTTAGCTGTCTTCCTTCCAGACCATAACTTGGTAGTGGTTTCATTCCTCTACGAGACCACAGTTGCAGCTTGAATATCTTCTGATACCCTTCTGCCAACACCTTCAGGTCTATAGGTGATAGAGGTTGTACATATACAATTGCTAGCCCTAAGGTTTCATCAGTTTTTATCCCTTAACTATAAGGGTGGGAAAATCTCCACTTCCATACTTAATATTTCACTGGACCTGAAAATTAAATTTGCATAATATAGATTCACAGGAATAAAAACTATGATACAAGTTTTACATATCACAGAAGAGCTCATAAAAATGGAGACACAAAGAATCAGTAAGAGTCCATTACTTATACAGATGATGCTCACCACCATGATGTGGTCACAAAATGATTAACCTATCCTAAATTGAAACAGCATAATTCAAATACATTAAATATGCCCAATCAACTGAACTCCACAGCTTAGCAACACAACAAACACAGTGTAGAGCATTGGTTGTTTTCCCTCATGGCTGTGAGGCTGCCCTGCCTAGCAGCATTGCTCACTCAAGTAGCCAACATTGCTTAAGAGTATCAGACTACGTACAGCTAACTCAGGAAGAGATCAAATTACAAAGTAGTGTTTCCATTAAATGCATATTACTTTCATACCATCATAAAGTCAAAAAATCCTAAAATGAATTCTCCTATGAAAGGATCAGTATCTATACTGAAATATACAAGAGTAAACTATGAAAATATGAGTAACAATAGGGGAGCTAAGAACTATTCTAAAAAGTTCTATAAAGAATTCTTCCCATCGGGACTTTATGTACTTGAAGTTAAGAACATTGTCTTTCCTTCCAGATTAGGAGTTTAGATTGTCTTTCACATGGGAATTTCATCTTCCACATTTAAGAAATATTATAAGGTAAAGGTAAAAGTATTTTTGGACCTGCTGTTTTTCAAGTAGCTTTAACTTCAATATTTAATAAGACAAAATAACATATTTTAGCTACTTCAGCTCTATTCAGACCTTGCAAATGATTCCTCCATTTAAATGCCCATTCAGTGAGACCTTGGTAGAGTTAAAAGTGTTTGATTTCTGGGATTTTTTTAATAAATTAATTTATTTTTAAGGAATACAAATTTTATAGGTACAACATTAGAAATATAGTTATTCTTCCCACCATACCTGCCTGCCCACTCATATTCCCACTCCTCCTCCATTTCCCCCTCCTAGTCCCATTCTCATTAAGATTCATTTTCAATTAACTTTGGACACAGAAGAGCAACTCCATAGTTAGTAAGGTTTTCAACAATTTGCATGCACACACAAACACACAAAAAAAAACTGAGAAATAGTTTTACAGTTAACTCTCATAATACACCTCACTGAGGATAGAAGTCCTGCATGGGGAGTTAGTGCACAGTGACACTTGCTGTTAATTTAACAATTAAAAGTCTAATGTATGATGTCAGTGACCACCCAAGGCTCTTGACATGAGCTACCTAGGCTATGGAAGCCTTTTGAATCCACAAACTCCATCAGTATTTAGAAAAGGCCATAAGCAAAGTGGAAATTCTCTCCTCCCTTTAGAGAAAAGTACATCTTCCTTTGATGGTCACTTCATTCCACTGGGATCTCACTCACAGAGATCCTTCAAGTAGAACATTTTTTCCACAGTGTCTTGGCTTTCCATGCCTGAAATACTCTCACAGGCTTTTCATCCAGACCAGGAATCCTTAAGGGCTGATTCTGAGGTCAGGGTGTTACTTTAAGCAACTGTAATTCTATGAGTATGCTTTGTGGACTGCTTAGCATGTTGGAAAAGTCACTCCTTTTTAATTCTATATTTTATTATTACCAGACACTTAGTCCTCTTTAAATGGTCACTTTAACACTAAATATGAACACTTTAACACTTAACATGGCATTTTAATTTGTTGTTGTTTTATAAGATTGTTTTAGCTATTTGAGGTCTCCCATGTTTCTAAATGAATCAGCATCATTTTTGAGAACTGAGAAGAATATCTTTGGTAATTTTATTGGTATTGCATTGAATCTGTAAATTGTTTTCAGAAGAATGTACATTTTGATGATGTTAATTCTCATAATCCGTGAACATGCAAAGTTTTTTAATTTTTTTGTATCTTCTGTTTCTTTCTTTAATGTTTTGTCATCTTCATTGTACAAATCTTTAACATCCTTGGTTAAATTTATTCCATGGAATTTTTATTTTTTATAACTATTGTGAATGGGAATGAATTTAAAAGCTCAATCTCAGCCTTGGCATCACCTGTGTATATAAAGGCTATTGATTTTTATGCTCATTTTGTATCCTGCTATTTTACCAAAATCTTTGATGAATTCCAATAGTCTTTTGGTGGAATCTTTTGGATCCCCTGTATATAGAATCATGTTATCTGCAAATAGGGATAGTTTGACTTCCTCCTTTGAGTTGTTTTTTGAATACTTTTTCTTAGAGTTTTTTTCTTGTCTAATGGTTCTAGCTAAATCTTCCAGGACTATATTGAATAGCAATGGTGAAAGTGGGCATCCTTGTGTGGTACCAGATTTCAGAAGGAATGCTTCCAACTTTTCCCCATTCAATAGGATGCTGGCTGTGGGCTGTCAAAAATTGTCTTATTTGTGTTGAGGAATAGTCTTTCTATACCTAATTAGCTTAGAGTTTTCATCATGAAATGTTGTTGTATTTTGTCACATGCTTTCTCGGCATCTATTCAGATAATCATGTTTTTTTTTTCTGTAGTTCATTAATGCAATGTATCACATTGATTGATTTGTGAATATTGAACCATCTTAGCATACAAGGGATAAATCCCACTTGATCTGGGTGGATGATCTTTCTGATGTGTTGTTGGATTCAATTGGTCAGAATTTTGTTGAGAATTTTTACTTCTATATTCATCAGAGAAATTGATCTGTAATTCTCTTTCTCTGTTGCATCTTTTTTAGGTTTAGGAATTAAGGTGATGCTGGCTTCGTAGAAAGAATTTCAGAGGATTCCCTCTCTTTCAATTGTTTTGAATAATTTGAGAAGAATTAGAGTTAGTTATTTTTTTCAGTATTTTATGCATTTGCTTCTGATTACTTCTATGTAATCTTTCTTTTTTTCTTTTCCTAGGTCTATGCAATCTTTCTTATAAACAATTTTTCAATTACATCTTTGCATTTCTTCAAACTCATCATCTTCACAATCACGTATTGAAGTGTTGTGTTTTTCTGGGAGGTGTCAGGTTGTATTATTTATTCTTATTTCTTGAATTGATGTGCTTGTGATTCTGCATTTGTAGAGATACTCATTGGTTTCTTTGTTTTTCCAATGTGATGGCTTTTATCTTTGTACTATGCACTGTAGATAAGTGGAAGTCTGCTTTCAGTGAATATCTAGAAGTTTGTGATATTTGTGGCCAGGTAACTGTTCAGTTCTCCACTGTTTGGCATGGTAAATGCCTTCTCTCTTTTTTTTTTTTTTTATTAGAAGGGAGGTTTATTCTCCTCAAAGGAGACCAGTACCTGAGCGCTAGCCTCAATGGGTAAAATATTTATCCACTCAACCCCAAAGACCACACAAAGGATCTGTTCAGTCTTCAGTGTAAGCTCAGATTCCCCAGGATTTCCCTGTCCCTCACCAGGTAACCAGGAAGCTCTGAGCATGTGGAGTCTCCCACAGTGGCTGCCCAACATCCCAGCAACACCATGAGTCCTCAAGCACAGCCTCAGTTTTTTTCACAGTCCCAGCACACAAACCCTCCACAGTCAGGAGCACCCAGATTCCTGTTAGTTAGTTCTTCTCACCAGAGTTAGGATTCTCCACTCAGCTGCTTGTTGTGCACAGACATGAACTGGCATAGCTGTTAACGTATGTCCAAAATGGCTCCCACTTTATTGGATTATTACAACACACCACTGTAAGGTGATCATAGAGAGAGAAACGTGTCTCTCCAATTTTTTTATCTCCTCTATTTTGACAGGTACACTATCCCCCACAGGGCTCCAAGCCAGGTTCCCTCTTCCTGCAGCTTCATCACCAGTAGCTTGGGCTGCTGCAGTCTGATTCACTTCACCCTCCAACACTGGTGCCTAGGTTCTCAGCTACTGGGATCATGAGTTGTGGGTATCCATGCCATCCATGTAGGTTCACTGTGTCCCTCTAATTTGCATAGAATTTCCTCTGCATTTTCTCCCTAACTCTTCCCTGAGACTGCAAACTCTCCACTTTTTTTAAACTATCATCTAGACTAGAGCAGTAAGCACCCTCCCTACTCAGCCATCTTAAGCTCTCGCTTTAGGATTCTTTATGAAAATCCTTTCCCAATCTAAAGTCAAAGATTTATTTTTTTTATTTTTTATTTTGGCTAGGCAGAGTGGACAGTGAGAGAGAGACAGAGATAAAGGTCTTCCTTTTGCCGTTGGTTCACCCTCCAATGGCCAGCGTGGCCGGTGCCCGGCGCTGATCTGATGGCAGGAGCCAGGTGCTTCTCCTGGTCTCCCATGGGGTGCAGGGCCCTAGGACCTGGGCCATCCTCCACTGTACTCCCTGGCCACAGCACAGAGCTGGCCTGGAAGAGGGGCAACCGGGACAGACTCCGGCACCCTGACCGGGACTAGAACTCGGTGTGCCGGCACCGCAAGGCGAAGGATTAGCCTATTGAGCCATGGCGCCAGCTCAAAAGTCAAAGATTTATAATCTAAAAATAAGTTACAATATTTATTTTATCTGCTATTTTGGGTGTATATCTTTTTAAACTTTTATTTAATAAATATAAATTTCCAAAGTACAACTTTTGGATTATAGTGGCTTTTTCCCCCCATAACTTCCCTCCCACCCACAGCCCTCCCATCTCCCACTCTCTCTCCTCTTCCATTCACATCAAGATTCCTTTTCAATTATCTTATATACAGAAGATCAATTTAGTATAAATTGAGTAAA